TGAGGTTCTTTCTGCTGCCGTGTTCTTTGGCAAATTGATTTTCCAAGAAGGGTTGCTTCTAATGGAGCTCTCCAGGTGTTACAAGCTGCTGCTTTATGCCAACTTGAACCCACAGTGACCCCTGCCCATTACTTTTTCTCAGGCAGCTTCCTATTAATATTAAGGGCCTTTCTGTGAACATCAAGGGCCTTTGTGAATCAGTCCCAATGACATTTGCATCCCAATGACAAAATGCATCTACTGGCATTGCATAATTTGCTACTTGGTGCCTATGGCCATGGTCTGGAATAAAAACACACAATGTTGAGATTTCGTAGCCGCTGTACGTTGGCCCCCAATGCCATGCAAAGGAAACAAGCGAGCGCGATACGAGTGCAGCATGAGAGCAGAGCTGCTACCATTGCTGACGGCATCAGGAATCCAAACAGGGCATTAATTAAGGAACAATCCTTGCTGTCCCTCTGTTTGCATGACACCAAAAGGAGTCCCTCCTTAGGTTTAAAATATCTCACCAGCCGGAAAGATGCAGGACTAACAAGACAGGATGTTTGCTGTATTAGCAGCAGGCATTTAATCAGTCAGAACAAACCCGTCCAGTCACAGTTCATGTGTTTGGATTCCACCTGTGTGCTTGGCTAATGAATTTCATGCCTTCCCGAAGACACGCTGAGCAAGACACTCAGCTGCTGCAAATGGTAGTAAATCCTGCGATTTTTAGGGACTTTACTGAGCCACACAAGTGGAGCAGGTGACCTTTTGTCTTTAATGCTTATACAGACATTTTTGCCCCTGCAGAACAATCATTTCTCACCAGGAGAAGAAAAATCTGCTTCTTTTAGCTTAGACAGAGGATGAAAGAGGATGCTTGTGCATGCTTTGTGCGCTCGGGCCCCAGTGCGTGGATGCTTGTTTCTTTGTTACCGAGGCTGATGCTTAAAAATAATAGTTTCTTTTATCTGCATCGTCACAGGAAGGTCTGCCTTTTGGAATGCACATAAGCCTTCTCAATAGCCATGCGGTCTAAGCCTGATTTAAATGGGACACCAAGACTTTGGGAGAGAAAGCCTTTCAGCATTCCAGGTGGAGGCATTGCTATCATTTCCCCAGCTTCATTCTTGCCCCGTTTTGAATGCAGGCTTAGCTGTATAGCTTTGTACCAGTTTTGGTCCATGATCCATCCATGTCCCGGGGAGGAACTTGGCCCAGGTTTCTGGAGCCTGGTTCCCTTGACAAGAGACCCCCGAAAACTTGATGTTATTTGTACTGTTTGCACACCAGAGGAAAAAGTATAGGGTGAACGGACATAGAACTAGGAATGAGATAAAGGGGAGAGTACCAGCCCTTGTCCTCAATATGGATAGCTGGATGTGTGCCCATGTAGAGACAGAAAGACACAGACCCACCTGTATCTTATATGAGATCAGAAGAGTCATCAGTCTAGCTCTATATTGTTTGCTCTGGCTGGCAACATCTTTATCAGCCATTTAGGGACAGTGGAAGTAAATAAGGTAAATTAGTCAAACCTTTGGCCTGTATGGACCACTATGATCCTTTGACTGGCAGTGATGTTTCTCCAGGATTGGAGGAAGGATAATTTCTCATTCCTACCTGGAGAGCCTTTGTATCCCCTCACATACAAATACTTATACCTGATTCTGTGTACCTTCCTGAATCAGACGAGACAAATGTGTGTGTGAAAGGTGTATGCGAATCTTGCTTTGGTTTCATTTTGCAAATGAGGTGTGTGTGTGGTTTTTTAAAATAAGAATTTACAAACATTTACAAATGCTTTCATTTTGAGATGGGGGGAAATCCTCCCTTCAAATGGAGAACAAACTGGAACGGTGAAACTTTCTCGCCCCTAAGACCTTTCCAGGAAGGGTGACCCAGTGAGATGCAAGGCTTAGGGTGCTGGAAAGAGTCCATGAAACTCACTGTCAAGATACGTAGTTGTGAGGACAAAGGGAGGAATGGAGAGGGACTGGTCCTATATATGTTGAGTCCACTGGAGGGGCAGTAGGATATAAATTCTACTAATAATAAACCTTAATTAAATTCTCATTTGCCTGCTGACTGAAAGCAGATAGGGGCAGGATTGTAACCAGGTTCTCCAAATCTATTTTAACCCTCCTGAGATCTTCAGAGGCAGAGAATACCCAAAACTTAGTGCTATAGCGAAAGAAGCTCAATTCTGTCCACCCACCATACGGAAGATGGTGGTGAGGCTGGAGACCAAAAGGTACTAATAGGATTATGTGGGAAGAGAAAGGCCTTCATAAGTCAGCAAGCTCCAAATCACAAAGAGTTTCAAAACTCAAGGTGTGCAATATACTTTTTACCCCCTCTCTGACTTTGGTACAAATGTCAGAAATCAATAAGGTTGGTTCGTTGGTTGGTTGGTTTTGTTTCCCCCCTCCCCATGTGTTATGACCTTCAGGCACCTTGTTGACTCACGGGCTGGCCTCGTCTGTGGCTAGTTTCTTTTTTCTCATCAATTTGTGTTTCCATTTGTTTCCCTTCCTAGGGGAACAATAAAGGAGATGTGCCCACAGGCTGACACTTTTGTTTTCATTCCACCTGCTTTTTTATAGGTGTCTTGCACGGAGCGGCTTTTTATAAGGAAGGGAAGGGTTTCCGCAGTCTTTTGTCACGAGCAGATTGATTCAGTAGGCTTTATTTTGGGTTTAAAAGAAGAAGAAATAATAATCTTGCAACGGTGACAACAAGATCTGGCATCCAGCCTGGCAAGATGCACACATGGCATACCTGTCACCGTCACGCCATGTTTACAACTTGGGTTGTGAATGCTGGGCAATAAATCCCCCATTTATTGTCTTTCTGCAGCAGGATCCCTTGCAGCCCGAGGCCATAAAGTGCAAGTTAGAAGATTCACGGACCATTTTCAGAAGCAGTAAAGTAATACCAATCTGCGAGGGAAAGAGTTTGGGGATATATCCAGGCCCTCCTGTTTGAAAATAATGAAGGAAAGGGCAACTCAAAGTCATTAAGAGACTAATAAAAATAACATTTGCAAAATTAAAATCCCAACCTGAGTCACACAATTCTTTTAGACTGGAATCTTTTTAAAAACAAACACACACACACATTAATTTGCATTGTGCCATTGACAGCTCTTATTTCTCATCGAGGCGGCAACATCTCCACCTCCATTGGGGGGGGTGAATTGAGGACAAGTGTATTCATTTATTCGCGGTTGCGTCTGTGGGGTATGTGTTAAGCTGGGATGCAGCGGAGGCCTCCTTTTGCAAAACGTGCACGGGACAAGGGTATCAACGACCTATCCTCCCCACTATGACAAGTTATGCTTGGGTAAAACAAGCTCTCCCACGGCAAACAGAGGGCAGCAATAAAAGAAAAAAGCTGGCCTTTACTTTGATCACAGACCTTTGGATGTGATCGGGTGATGCTGCCACCTCTGTGATTTGGACTATGCCACCCATTAAAACCATCCCGTCTGGCCAAGAGAGGTTTGCTTGAAGTCACAGGGACGGCTGTGCTATTCTTCTGAAATGAATCTCCTTTGCTAGGCGCTTAAAGGGGGAATCAGTTCTATTACTGATGCATGTTCTGTCAGTTTGTTAGTCTTCTGCTGCCAGTGCTTTTTGGGAAAAGGTAAAGGTTCCCCTTGACAATTTTTGTCCAGTCGTGTTCGACTCTAGGGGGGCGGTGCTCATCCCTGTTTCCAAGCCATAGAGCCAGCGTTTGTCCGAAGACAATCTTCTGTGGTCACATGGCCAGTGCGACTTAGACACGGAACGCTCTTACCTTCCCACCGAGGTGGTCCCTATTGATCTACTTGCATTTGCATGCTTTCGAACCGCTAGGTTGGCGGGAGCTGGGACAAGCGACGGGCGCTCACTCCGTCGCGTGGATTTGATTTTACGACTGCTTGGTCTTCTGACCCTGCAGCACAGGCTTCTGCGGTTTAGCCCACAGCCCCACCACGTCCCACCACGTTTTTTTTAAAAAAGCAGATTCCAGTCCAGAAAAGAGTCATGACTTAGTGACAGAGCATCAGCTTTGCATGCAGGCATTGCCAGGTTCAATCCTCACCCTATCCAGGCAAGGCTGGGAAAGAATCTGGCCTGAAGCTCCCAGCAGCTGCTGCCAGATGGACCAGTGGTCTTGCTGAGTCTCAAGCACTTTCCAATGTTCCTGGGCTACTCCCTAATCAAGAGGGAGACTCTTCCTCTGGAACCATTACTGGGGTCTTGCATTTGGAGACTTGCTCCAGGAGACCTTCCAGGTCCCTACTGTATTTAACTTCATCCAAGGTTGGGGTCGGGCCAGGATCCTGCATCAGGAGAATGTGATGGGGCACAAGTGGGCAGGGACGTCAACCTTCCTTTGTTTCCTTTTCACACGCAAGAATGAAACATTTCGAAAACTTTCTTCCTTTGGGTGAGATCCCGTCCATTTTTTGTGCACCTGCCACCTTGAGGGGCTTTCTGCAAACCTTTTATGAAAATGTAGTATTTTGCGCAGAAAACATGGCGCTCCGAGCATAACCCGAGCTTTTCTAGGAAACAGACAAGGCTTTTCTGTAGAAAGCACTTCTTGCAACAATTTTTGTGTTTGCAAAGGGGAAAAAAAATATGTCGGTCTTTTCACTCTCATGCAGAGGTGATAAATCTCATCGCGGTTGGCAGGACTGAGATATCCTTTCTTGTCAGAGTTGAGAAAATTTGTGAATATTTGTTACATCCTCACAAAGGAATCACTATCTCTTGGCTAAATGGCTTTGTAGGGATTCTGTGAGGCCAAATATATATATATATATTTGACAGTGCCACTGGGTACCTCATATACTTACCATCTCTTCTCCCCTACCCGTGAACCTCTTCTTGCTAAGCCAACCCTCTGAGTGAGGAAGCCTTTGGGGGAGAACCAGCCATGTCCTCTCTCTGTGACCTTTTCTCCCCCAGCCCAGTCCCACTTGGGGAGGAGATATTGATCTTCTCTGTGTTCCTTCCTTTCAGAAAGCTGACTTGGCAGTGGCCGGCCTCACGATTACCGCCGAGCGGGAGAAGGTGATTGATTTCTCGAAGCCCTTCATGACTCTGGGGATCAGCATCCTTTACCGGGTTCACATGGTAAGACGTGTTTCTGGAACTATACAAAGTGTGAAATAAACCTACATGAGAAAAGGGGGGTGATAAGGAACAGTGGCTCGCAAAAATACATTCCTTCTGTTTATGCACATACAAAGACGCAGGTGCCTGCAAGAATGAAGGATTTCACCAGGGGAGGGTGTTTTTGGTTTTTTTTTTTTTTGAGTTTTTTTGATCAAGGCATGGTCAAATCTGGTCAAGTCATGGTCAAGTGTTTTTATAGCATTAATGTGAGGAATAAAGATCGTTGGTATTCACATGCCTGGGGAGGGAGAGAGGGGGGATTTTATTTTTATCCCCTTAAAATGGGGGATGTTTTATTAATTTATTTTATCGCATGATGATTTTTACCTCCCCACGGGATGGTGTACATAATTCGTTTATCCATTTCTCCTCACAACAACTCCGTGAGGTTAGTTTGGGGGACGTTGTGCTTTCAATACGGGAATTTGAATGAGAATATTTTAACACATGTGAGGCAAAATGAAGGAAAGGGCGATGGCTTCTGCTTGGTTGCGTGGGCTCCTAAGGATTAGAAGGATTCGAGGGAGTCGTGTCAACCAGCTGTTCTGCACCTCTGCGACCTGTGTGTGCTCTAAGGGAAAAATCACTAATTTGTACAGAAACCATGAACTCAAATTAGAGATACAGTGGTGCCTCGCATAACGAGCGCACTGTTGAACGATGAATCCGCATTGCGATGCGGATTTCCCCATCGCTAATGCGAGGGCATGCTCGCATTACGATGGGGGAACAGCTGTTCGGCAGTTCCAAAATGGCCGCCGGACACCCAAAATGGCCGCTGGAACACCAAAAATGGCCGCCGGGACACCCAAATGGCCACTGAGACACCCAAAATGGCTGCCGGAACACTAAAAATGGCCGCCGGGACACCCAAAATGGCCACTGAGACACCCGAAATGGCTGCCGGAACACCAAAAATGGCCGCCAGGACACCCAAAATGGCCGCCGGAACATGGGAAAACATTGGAGAACGGTGAGTTTTGGACCCATTTGGAACACATTAAACGAATTAATACGTTCCAATGGGTTTCCCCGTTCCGCTTAACAATGTTTTCCCATAGCGAAGGTTAATCTGGAATGGATTAACCTCGCTATGCGGGGCAACACTGTATTAATGGGGAAAAAACATCACCACTTGCCTCATTCTTGCCTAGAGGTGAGGAATCCCACTTAAAAATCCCCATTGAGATGTCATGTAGAGACTGCCAAAGGATGATGAGAATAAAGGGTTTTGGAAATATTCTTTACATCCCCATTGCACATTTTTGCAGAAGCTTGGCCATCAGTTGAATAACCAGAGGCCTCTCATGCTTTTGCTGATGATGTAGACTTCTATCTGGCAGGAGCAAACTCATTGCCTGCTTTTGTTTAACACATGCCTCGGCCCCAAGAAGAACATGTTGATCCATATAAAAAGGAATTTGTGCCAGAGATGCTGGCAAGTCTTTGGGTCTGGCTCTCAAGTCCAAGTCTGAGTCTTTGGTACCAAGTCTCAAGTCTGAGTTCAAGTCTCCAATACTGAGTCCCAAGTCCCAAGTCTGAGTCCCTATGAAAAACAAGCCCTCCTCCCCAGAAAATCGGGAGTGGGAGGGTTGCAATTTGCAAGTTTTGAGTCTGAGTCATTGGAAAGAAGAAGAAAAAGGGTGAGTCCCCATCCCTGACATGTATTGAGGCAGGAAACTTCTATCCACGTCGTATCTACTCTGTCCGGCTCTGGTCTTGTGGGGAGAGAGGGTTGGTCCAGCCTTACCATCCAGAACCCAAGATGCTATGGAGATCGAAATCGTAGACTTGGTTGCATGCAAAACGCTAAGCTAGGAATCCATTTCTTGCTCATACAGGGAAGTAAGATCATGATCGCCCAAACCCTTTGGGGGCATGTTAAGGCAAGAAGGTTCAGGGAACAACACTGCCCAAACCCTTTGGGGGCATGTTAAGGCAGAAGGTTCAGGGAGCGACACTGGCTTGGCATTTCAGGGCTTCCATCCTGGTGTTGTCTTTTGACTTCCGACTTAATCAACCTCTAAAGTTCGGAGTCATCAACTCCAGAACATTTACAAGAGGTTTTTGAACAAAGCCTTGTCTCTACCTGCTCTGTATTTCAATATGTTCTCCATGTGTTCTGTCAGCAATAAGAACACCCCTTTAATTCCCCATCAGTTGGACTGCAGTATAAATAAATCACTGAAACAATTATAGCAGATTCATAGCTTCTGCCTTTGTAATAGCCGAGTCTGGTAAAGATGGCGCTTTCCTCACAAACATAACTTCCACGTTACTCTTTTCCTCAACAGTGGCTCTCTTTCTGCCAAGAAAAAAAACAAGTAATTAAAATCTACTTTAAATTCTGTTTCCTCTGCTATGTGTTGAATCATGGATCAACACGTAGAGCTCCCCTGGAAGGTTCTAGCATTTTCCCCATGCTATAAATGATTTATCCCATTTGTCAAGAGCCTGGGAAAATTATTATTAGTATTAGTATTTTTTTTTTGGACTAAAATTCACAGAAGCGAGAGGAATATGGCCGTTGTGGTCTTAAAGAGTAAGGTTTCCCAGTCCTGCTGTTTTTATCCCAAGAATTCAGAAGCACTGGTTTTAAGATTATCCCAGCCTCACATTATCCTTTGCGTTAAGCTGAGAGATTTCTGCACAGCCTAAGGCCATGCAGTGAATGCTACCACTGTTTAGGGAGCTGATGCTTTACTCTTCCCAGTGCAGGCCAGCCTCCAAACAGACAGGGATACAGGACTGAATCTGATTGCACTGGAAAGGTATCTTTTACTGTCCATTAAAGTGACCCTTCCAAACATACAGGAATCGCTCCAGTCCAGCCCCCCCTCCAAAAAAAAGAGTAGCCCTGCCACTGGACCAAAAAGGCCCAGCTTGGCCATGGAGGAGGGTTGGGCTGGTTCATGATCTCCTGCACGTTGACTGGTCGGAGGAGAACAGCTTGTGCTGGACCATGACATGAGTTCAGGATGCAGCCTGCCGCTCTGATCACATGCTCCGTTTGATCTCAGAGCTACTGGCTTGTTTCCTGCGGGGGGAGGGGAGAGAGCAGAAAGGTGGTTGTGCCATGAGATTGAGATATACTGCAGGCTGGCTCCAGTCTCTGCCAAGCACGTCCCTGAAACATCACTGCAGTGTGCAGGTGACCCCCAGGTTCTCAGAGGCCAAGAGGTCCAAACTCTCGGGAGGGTCTACCAAGCTAGTGAGGCTTTCTGTGCCTCTCTGGCAGAAGAGTGCAGACCTGCTTGTGAAGGAATGGCTTAGCTAAAATGTGGAAAGACTTTCCCCCAGATGATGAACTGGTCCCAAGATTTAGGAACAAATGATGGCGTGCAATAGTCTTGACTGGCATCTTCTTCCCATGGCCAGCTTTTCCATCTCATGTAGTCTCTCCCTGGTTTCAGGGAAAGATCCTCTTGCTTAGCATTAATCTACTGCACGAGAGCGGTGTGACAATGAGCTAATCAAGCTAATAAATATTTGTTTAACAACGAAAGGCATGACAACTAATTACTGTAGTCTTCCTTTAAGAATCTTGTTTGAACAGCAGATGAAGGAGGTGGCAAAGCCCCATCTGCTTTTGTGTGTGTGCCTTTCCTCTCTATATTTCAGCATGGGAAAACTGCAGCTCATGTTGTGTTAGTCTCTAGTTTCCATCAGATGTTTCCTAAAAAAAATAACTACAAATAAATTTTCTGCCTGCCCTGGCTCTGTCTCCCTGCCTCCATCCCCTCCCAACTCTAATGACATTTTTATTTTATTTTCTGTGTAACTGTGGTTCCCCATCATCTCTTTTCCTGCCACTCGCTTTGCAACCCTCCCCACCCTTTCACTGTTGCACACACATCTGTCTTATCACAAATAACCAAATATGACAGGTTTAAATGGGTCTGTCATTTTTCTCAATTTCACTTCTTGTGATTTAATCAACTATGGATTTCTGGCACAGGAACTCTAATGGGGTATCTCGCTTTGGAAGTACGGCAAGAGTGCCGTGCCCAGATTGGTCCCCCGCCCCATCCCATGCCAATGGAGCATTATGGAGGAAAATGAATGGATTTGGACTTAGGGCTCGTGTGTTTGGCCTGTGACACAGAAGGGACGGGAGAGAAAATGGGTTTGCTCCTTGCGTGGCAAAATGCAAGTGTCCTCTGCCTTTGTAACCCAAATCCGCCCCAAAACACTGCAGTCTCAAAGCTTTTATCTGTGTTTGTGTACACAGCTATCTTCTGCAAAAACTTCCAGGGAGTTTAGCTTGTGTTAGGCTACCACCGCAAACCAACCAAAAGTATAAAAATAAACTAAAGGTCAATCCGTTAGAAACTAATAAAAGCTTTTGGTGGGTGACAGGACAAGAATTGGCCTTCTCCATCTGGCTTGTCCCATCCATTAGCCAAAACCCTATTGCTCGGTGTCTTTTGAAACAATGGGGATTTGGTGAGCTGACTCTTCTATCAGTTGTATTGATTCAACAGGACTACTGTAGTGCAGTTTACTACATTACACAACAGGATTTTGGTCCGTGTGGACAAAAAAAAACCTGATGTTTGAGCCAATGCAGGGTTTGAAGGAGGCCAGGGATCATTACCTACCCAAGTGAATGATGGGGAAAGATGGAGAGAAGAAACCCAGGTGACAGCTAGAAAACTGCCAGAAGTTTGTAGACAAATTGTGGAAGGCCCCACATTTCCTCTGTATACAGTGATGACGTATTAATATGTCTCTAGTGTATGTTTCTTTCTGTGTTGTGCTTCACTTTGCCTCCTCTTTCATTTATTGGATCAAATTAGCCAGTGTTAGATGGCTGGATAGCTCAGTGGGTTGGAATACCAGGTCGCAGGTTGGTAGTTTGTTTTATACCTACAAACCCCTGGGAAGGCCCTCTGTAACTGGTTTTATTCAGTATTCTGCATTGTTTGATATGTTTACATGATTTCTATTGTTCTTGAATCTTGACTTGTTTGTTTGCATTGGTTTTTTTAGCTGCTTCAGGCACCTGTGGTGGAAGAGCAGAATACAAATAAGTTGGTGGGTGGGTTCCCTATGAACTTTAATGCATTCCACAAAAGCTTGTACAAAATAGGTGACTTCTTCATCTCCAAGGATGGTGCCCCAAAATTTTGTGGGAGTTTTTCAGCTTAACAAACTTTCCAAAGGCTTGGTGCCATAGGAAGAGAAGGAGACAGAAGGATTCCAAGGGGCTCTGATCAGCTGTAGTATTTTTACACTGCCAGTTAAGAAATCAACGTTTTCAAAAAAGAAACAAAAAAAACCCCAAAACAAAACAAAAAAAACCCCAACCCTAACAACCCATCATTGTACAAAAAAGGTTCCTTTGAATAAGATATCAGGAAGAAAACTGAGCTGGACTAAATTATTCCCCCGAGCTTCATTCTTTTCCCTCCTGAAGGCAACCTATTTTCAGTGTAGACCATGCAAAATTGGTAGCCATACCACCATATGTTTGAAGTGATGCCTCGTCCTCCTCCCACATTGACTAAAGCATGCTTCTGTATATTGTCTCCCAATCCAATCCATTTAATCTTATGCATTTAAAATATGCCCACTGTCTGTTCAAACTTCATTTGTCCGATATAAAGCACAACTCTTGAAAATATGCACATTCTCATGATAAGGTATTTTCCTTCTTGAAAAGTGTTTCTAAGCATGTGAGAAGGTTGTGAGTAAACAACAACAGCAATTCCAAAAGAAAAAAAAAACCCTTTGCCATCCTTACCTGGAATAAAGAGACACATCATGATGTTAATAACAGTTGAAACTTAATTGAGTTTAGTGTAACAAGACTTGCAAGCTTGTGTAATATGCTATTGGAAACATAGGAGACATCAACCAGCCAGCTTCTTGGAAGTAATTTTGGGAAAGTAACTTGAACTTTTACTTTCTGCAGTTCTCAGAATTCAACCACGAGCACTGTGGTGGGATTATAGTCCAAAAAATAATTTCTCCTATCTGTGACCTGTCATCCGTTGGAGTGGGTTTGCCGTGCCATGCATTGATTAGGTGATCCCACCTCCTTCTCATCTATCAACACCTTTCAGGGGTTGAGAGAGACTCTCCAGAGTCATTTTTTTCTTCCAGGCTTGCCCTTCTAAATTAAGTGAGCCATCTCCCTTGGGTCTCTCAGTGATGAGTGCCAAGTCTCCCAAAACAGCCAGCCAACCCTTACCTTAAAGGTGTTTATGGTACTCATCATCATTTGTACTAAACTGTAAGTTTATCACATAGCACCAATGAGGTTACTTACTCATTAGGACCTGCTGTTAACTGCCCTGCTCCTCTAGGTGAGCAATATGCAGAACAGATGAAAATAGCCATAACCCAGCACCAGTCTTGTTGACAAGTAAAAATATTCTACTCAGCCCCCAGACAACCAACTATTCCAGCAATACCACTCCAACAGATGCCTATTTTGCTTCCAAGGAAGTGGTACAGACTTACGGATCCTCTCCTCGGATCTGCACCCCTGCATCCCACATGCCCTCTGGCTGTAAGACCAGCTACAATGCAAACCCCACACAAAACCATCTGGATTGAACAGCTGGAACACTTTCACATAACTGAAACAAACATTCATGCAGCTGTTCGTGTTCTCAATCTAAAATGAAAGTTATTCAAATTGATTTCTGACGTAAATGCCTGGCAGTGTGCATCTTAGCATATGTAAAACTGCTTTGCATTATTTCCAAAGACAGCCCCCCACACACACAACCCTGCATTAAGAAAGTGTGGGCCATGAAGCTTTGTGGATAATGCTGCATCCTTCCTGTCACTCATTTGATTTCCTTCTGTCCTAAAATGCTTTTTTTATTTTATTCAGACCATTTGCATTACAATTAGCCACGGATATAAAGATTGGGTCCATACAAAAGATGGGCTTTCAGTGTTCCTCGGTTTCATAAATGCCATGGCACTGTGCGATAATGACATACCAATTAGTCTGCGTGGCTAACATGACACAAAATCCATAGCACTTTGGGCCAGTGAGGAAAATGATCCATGGAAACATTAGCCTGGCATGCTTCAGGGCATAAGCCATCCTCCAGCTGATGTAGGTCAAAAGAAAACATACAGAACTGCTGCTGTTTTGAACTTTCAAGCACGGTTAACTTGAAGCCATTCTCTTTTTCTTTTGAAATAAGAGAACGGTTGACTTTCAGGACCATTCATCTGCCCGCAGATCCTGTACTGGATTCTTCTTTCATAGATAACAATGGACGCCAAGTGGCATTATGGAAGGGGACGAGGGTGTCATGACATCCACACTTTGCCCCTCTGTGCCATTTATGTCCATCAAGCTCCCTCTGGTTTTGTTCGTTCCAGGGGGTGCTATGTCTTTCCTTACTTTTTCAAAAGCCCACGAGGCACTGATGTTTACTGCTACTAAAGTTCAGTTCCAGAATCCAAGGCTGAAAAATCAGGTAAAGACACAGGGTTCAGTGGGCGAGGGAAGAATTTGCAGTGGATAATAGGAGTACGGGGCAGAATGAATGTCGATCTCCCCCAAGGGCTGGGACTGTTCCCATCGCTTTCTATAGGAGCTGCTCATGACCGGCATGTGGAGGGTTCCCCCCTCCGTTTTTGTGTGCCACCCGGACGGACGTGGTGGCGCTGCGGGTTAAATCGCAGTAGCTTCTGTGCTGCAAGGTCAGAAGACCTGCAGTCGTAAGATCAAATCCATGTGACGGAGTGAGCCCCTGTCACTTGTCCCAGCTCCTGCCAACCTAGCGGTTCGAAAGCATGCAAAATGCAAAAATGCGATTTGATAAATAGGTACCACCACGGTGGGAAGGTAAACGGCGTTCTGTGTCTAGTCATGCTGGCCACGTGACCACGGAGGATTGTCTGTGGACAAAACGCTGGCTCTATGGGTTGGAAATGGAGATGAGTACCACCACCTAGAGTCAGACACGACTGGACAAATTGTCAAGGGGAACCTTTACCTTTACTAGGGGTACTTCCAGATGGGGAAAAAAAAATTTACAAAGAAGCTGCTGCTCTTTCCTCCTTCCTGCATTCTTTCCCAAAGACATTCGTTCACCACCACCATTTTTCTCTACCACCCCCACCCCACCCAGTCTATTTTGCAGGAACATGGGTTACTCTTTTAGAATGGAGGTTTTTAAACACCCGTGTGTTGTTTTCCTTTTCTGTGTCTCAGGGGCGCAAGCCTGGCTACTTCTCTTTCCTGGATCCTTTCTCTCCTGGTGTCTGGCTCTTCATGTTACTCGCCTACCTCGCTGTGAGCTGTGTCCTCTTCTTGGTGGCCCGGTAGGGTGTACTTTTCCATTCAGTTCCCTTTTTCCCCCTATCCTCACACGCCATCTACTGTCAATTGCTAAAAACTGGATAGAAAAAAAAAATCTTAAGTGCTGAATGTGGATCATAGATGCAGGACTTTGGGGGAGGGGAGAGATGCTTATGCTGATGTGTTGGGGGAAAAATGGTGCCAGGAACATTGCTCTCATGTATAAAAGAATTAAAATATGCAGTTGAATTGGGAAATGACCAGCAGGTGAATGTTGCAGCGTGTCCTGACATAAGGCAGCCCTCTAGTAGTAGTGATGGATAGAATGGCTCAATTTAGGGATGTGAAAATATTTCAGTTTCCGTTTCATTTTTTCCTGAATTCTGCCTGCATTTTCTGTCCCTCATTGTTTCACATCAGCTTGAAAGATTTTTGTAGGTTTTTTCCTCCATATCTCCCGATACCCATTTTTATCTATGCATTTTAGCTTGCACATTTCCCCACACTGACAGAAGTGTGCTTGTGTTTTTTTAACATGCATGTTTGAAGCATTTGCATTTCAAGGGGTGTGTATTTTGGTGCACCAGCACAATTTTCATAAACATTGGACTCTTCCAGATAAGGTGTTTTTGCTAATAATA